GAATATTTACCCAAAGTGTTCACTAAGTGAAGAATGTTACTTGACCTAACGAAAGTCATTAGAAAAAGGTTTAACAACGGAATTTGTGTGAATAATAATTTCAAACGAATTCCTGAATGCAGAGGACCACATAACGCAGGCTAAAAGAAAACTGAAGAAAGTTTCTTCTGGCAGAAAACTGTTCTTGTAGAGAATACTGAACAGACACACCACTCAAGGTGCGAAGAAAATTATGAAGAAAACAGGAAGACCAATATTTCGACCAGAGTCCCGAACGGCTCCTAAAATTTGAATAGCAATCTGAGTGACATATATTTAGTAATGACAAGGATACAGTTTAAAACGAGAGCATTCGGAGAAGAGCTTCTAAAAATTACGGATGAGTGCTCCGTAAGGCTTCAAAACATCTGAAAAAACCTGACCAGTCAGCAACTCAATGAACTGTCTGGAGTACATGATAACAAGTACCAATTTTTTTACGTGCCAAAGTCTATGTTTCTGAGACTTTTGACACCAGCATTGCGTGTTAAATAGGTTATGTATCAATTCCACATTGTTTCACCTTGACATATCATATGTTTTGTATTTCACGAGATTAAAGTTGCGACACCAAATCTCCTGGCCCTGGTCGTTCGAATGCTGGATAACGCAATCCACGGGATAAATCGCTATCCATTGGATAAGTGGTAACAAAACAAATTACGCTATCCACTAGATAGTGATTTATCTGGTGGATAGCATTATCCACCTTGTGAACAACCGGGGCCTGACTGATATATAAGAAACGAAATGACGATAGAAGGGCTGCAAGTCTTGGGCAAAAACCTTTCTCTCGGTTGTAGTGCTTTTGAGTCCAAACTTCTTTTGAAGATTTTTTGTAAAACGAGTCAAACTCTAATAAAAATTCCTCAGAACAAGATAATGGTTAACTTGTTAAAACGTTACCACACACTCCCAAAGAAATCCACATCTAATTTAACATGGAAAATCTAAATTGGTTTTCTACATTTCACGGGACAGAATTTATTTTATTTGTCATTTTTATTGTAAGATATATAATATCTTGTACATATTATATTAAATCTAAAAAAATAATAATAAATAAATAACAACTTTTCATGTGCAAAGACCATGTCAATCCACAGTGTGATAATAAAGTTGTTTCCTTACTTCTCAATAAATTATTTATTTATTTCTCAGTCCATTAGCAATACATGCTAAGAGGCCTAACACGTCTCATCTAAAACCATGAGGATAGATAAAGGTTATCTATCTATTTATCTTTTTAAGAGAATGACACAATCCAAGAAATGAAAGTCTGCATACAAGCCAAGTGGCCAAACAGGCCAGAGCTTATGCCGGTTTCTGTCGCATGAAGCGACTAGGAGTATTTCTACTCCCCCCTGGATGGGATGCAAGTTTATTGCAGGGTTACCCCCAGCATTAAATTCGCCTGTACCCATTTATACACCTGGATGGAGAGAGGCACTGTGAGGGTAAAGTGTCTTGCCTAAGAACACAACACAATGTCCCTGGCCAGGGTTTGAACCCAGAGCACTTGATCCGCAGTCAAACACACTAATCATGAGGCCACCGCACCTCCCACAATCCAGTAAATACTGTATTGTAATTTATTAAAATAGTAGTTTGATGCTCTAGTTAATTAGTTTCTGCTCTAGTTAATTGCTGCTTATGTTTATGCTTCCTGCGTATGAAACAACTGGCAGATATCTAAACTTATTATTGTCATCACCAAGACAGCTACATTATACGTTTTGAAGTCAATTGTTGAGGTCTGTAAACAAGCATCTTTGGAAAACTAGCCATCTCTACCAGATCTTGCATTGAACAACACTTGTATCTCTTGAGTATCGATCAGTGTTCCAGATAAGCAAGGGGTCTCAGGTCAAAAACCCGACAAGGTCAGCGACATGACCCAGCAAATTAATAGAAAATTTATGATGATTTGGTGGGAGCATTGGAAATTGACCCGTTGGAATTCTTGATTGGCACCATACCTTGAAAACTTATCTGGAACCCTGATCGATCTTAGGTGGAAATGAACTCGAGATGAATGACAGTGACCACACTCTCCTGTGGTGTCGTCATAGCATTGTGAGTATCTGATCAACAGCAGCTGAGAAATCTTTACAGACAGCAAATGGGGCTCTCTCAAGGCGATGTTCATCCCCATCGCGGTATTTACCTACAAGGTTAATATTTCAATTCAGTAATCCAAGCTCACATAATACATGCATATTCTGTTTCTAACATCATAGGCACACATTATAGGCATGCAATGCGTGCAGGATATGTATCTGTACTTTGTTTTGCAAACCTTGTGGGCCAATGGTACCAGCAAATACATGTAATTTAGAAATTTCAACTTGCCTGTTTGGACAAGAAATCCTTTGATCCCTGTGGCCTCTGCTCCTCCAATGTCATCCCTTGCATCCTGTTGATAAGAAAATGGTTTATTACTCTATACTGATATTGAAAGGTGTGACAATACTGTACCATCATTAAATGGTTTTTAAAATTTACTTAACGTCACATGCAGTGAAAAAAGCATTCAAAGCATAAACATCAAGACATTTAAAGAGAATGTCTGTGGCTAGATCTGGAAGTGAGGGGTGGTGTTAAGGGGGTTGTATCCCCTTCTAACATTTTTTTTTTGGGGGGTTTTTGGTATTTTCCTGAAGGGGCATGCCCCTCTCTCGTAGGGGTAACAACTTATACGCTCATAAGTACAATTACCCTTCTTCTTCATTACGTCTCCCTGTCCATCTATAATAAAAGTGACAAAAGGAAAATCGATATTCAAACACTTGGATCAAGACAGCTAAAGAAACATATCTCACAACACCAGCTTTCAGGCTTGACTTACATCCCCGATCATAACTGCAGATTGTGGATCACATCCTATCTCTTTCAGTGCCTGCTGGAAAAATGAGGGCTGTGGCTTGCCAACAACTTCAGCTTTGACATCTGATGCAAATTCAAGAGCAGTTACAAAGGGACCTGGGCCTAGTGCCAGTCCATCTCCTCTTTTGTAGTAACGTACTTTGTGAATTGCAATTAGAGGACAACCTTCAAGCAAAAGTCTGGAAAGCACATGAAAAATTATCATTTTCACTGGCACCATTCCAGATAGTGTAGAAAGAGGGGTAGGTTTATTCACGAGATATGTGTAGAAATAGGGTATCAAAAACCCAGGGAGTGGAATTCCCCTATAAAAAGGAACGGAGTGCTCGTTGGAAATTTTGAAACGCACTCCCAAGAGGTACCAAGATGCTGTTTTGTGGGCGTGGCTTGAAATGTTTTTCACCATTAAGAGGCACCAATTCTAAAACAACAAGTGTTACATTATGTCCTGTCGTATTTATTTTGCCTCAATACCCTTAAAAGGTACCACAGAAGCTCCTGTTGTGGACCTTTTCAGGCTTAATACTTTAAGAGTTACCTGCTTTTTTAACCCCTAAAAGGTACGACAAGCACACCTGTCCTTTTATAAGGGAGTCCCCTCCGAGGTCTAAAACTGTCGGTTAGGTTTTAAAAAGGGCCTTTCAAGATATATCGTTCACTCTGTGACGAGGAGGTGCAAAGACCTTTCTGGGGCCTATTAGAACTCAAAATAATGCTTTGGGGACTCTTTAGAGTACAAATTTTCTGGTGGTCCCTTTTTGGGTAGAAAGATTTCTGCAGGTCTCTTTGCAGGGTTGGTGAAAACGTACTGTAGGTATCTGAAAGGGATAACATTTTCTATAGATGGTACAGGGCTACCTTTTCTGTCAAAAATGGCATTTAAAAGGTTAAGGGTTTGCACCTTGGGGTGGAGCCTCTTTATATTAACCGTTCTTGAGTACCCCCTCCGTCTGGGTGTGTTAGTATTCATCTTACTCTGTCTTTATCTACAACATTCATAACCCAGCAAATATTAATGTTACAGGGGTACCCTGTGGGTACTTTGGGAAATGTCAAATCATTGTGGCAGTGTATTAATAACTTCGATAATAACTGAAATTACAGCTTGTATCTACTATAATAAGCATATAATATGATACTATAATTAAGCATATATGATCGGATCATGTGTACTTAGGCATCTGCAGTTGAGTCTTGATCGATACCCTTGATTGACTGTTGATCAAAACTTGATCAGCATCTCAATTAACACTTGACTGACATCTTGATCAACATCCAGTCAACACCTGATTGACATCTCAGTTAACAGTTGGTTGACAGTCAACTAATTTTCGCAGACATGTCATGGAGCATTGATCGATACATATGAGTCAGTCAATATTTGGCCAACTGTGTTGATCAAGATGTTAATCGATTATCAGTCGAGTGTCAACCGAGTATCAATCAAGATGTTGATTGAGTGTCAATCAAGGGTAGATCAAGGGTCGATGGAGGGATCGATCGATACTCAACTGCAAATGCCCTTAGTACACATGATTCATATAATCTTATATCAACGATACAGTAACAGGATATAGGAGGCCATGGGTAGAAAGGTCCTATACCTGAAGGCTTTGTTGAGTAATTCATAATTAAAGCAATCGGGAGCAAGTCCTACAACAACCGCGTTAGGATCGTTGACATCAACACCTTTGAAGTCCTCGAGCGCATCTTGCTGCAACAACAACATTGGACGTAACTTTCTCTGATCAACTAATCGACGAGCCGCAGTAAGCGAGGTGAATACTTCTTCTGCTTTTATATCGAATCCTATGCCAGTTAAACGCCTCAGTAACGTCTCTTTTGACTCTTTTGTGGTGTTAGTCACAAATCGCACAGAAACTCCTGTTTCACGAAGTCTGCGAAAAACACAAAACACTGACAAAATCGCGTAAAATTCAAAGAATATCGTCATTGTAATCTCTCGTTAGATTTCAATATTAAAATTTAGAAATGATAAAATAAACGAATGGACCCTATATACCTTTTAAGAGCTTCGATAGAACCAGGAATTACCGTATTTTCAACGTGAATTGTGCCGCTAAGATCAACAAGAACTCCGCGAATTTTAGCCGCCATTTTGTATTTGGACGTGATCGCTGACCATTCGTGGGCGCTGATTGAAGAACTCTTGTGCCCAGTCTCTGAGTCGGTCCCAGAGTACTGTTTCCCTCCATTCTATTTGCCGTGAAAGTGGAAGTCTTTTCAACCTTCTCATTTCTAGATATGCCTGTCAGGCCGAACTCAGCAGTTATCGAATTTAGTGCAGTGTTAAAAAAGGTGTCATTTAGGGCCACTTGGAGAAGTAAAGTAATGTCCAACATTCAATTCATTTTTGCGGTAAATATCCCGTACTCTGTAAATTTCAACTTCAAAAACAAGATGTCCTGGAAAATCTGTTCTAAATATTCCATTTAATATTCCCACAATTATCCTGTATCTCATTACTTTTACCTAAAATCCTGAATCCCAAAAACCCCTAATATGGCCTCAGTAGTCAGGTATGTAAATGTTATCTTTAAACAGTTCTTCATAGGTGAAAGCTTTTTCTATTCAAACCAGAGTAAATCTGGTAATTGGTCAGTGGAAAATATAGACTGTGGAACTGCAGACTGTAGCCTGCAGACTGAGGGTAAAATGCAGACTGAAGGTAAAAGGTAGACTGTAGACCAGGGGTAAAATGCAGACTGCAGACTGCAGACTACAGAGTTTGAAGTATTTATCAAGTTATTTCCATTATAATTATCAAGGGCTAACCATAGAGGGTTGTTCAGCCTGAATATCACTGCGGCTAGGCTGAATTAATCTCTTTGGTTAGCCTGAATTTCACTCACTTAAACACGTTCCTGTTCGCCTGTTTACAGTTAGCTCTCAATGATAGAAATGGTAACAGTGCGGATCTAGGGGAGGGGCCTGAGGGGCCTGTCACCCCCTTCCTTACTTTGGAAAAAAAAGAAAATTGCTGGGGGAAGAAAAGC